GTTTTTGCTTGAATCGATGAACAAGCGCCATTCATCGGGCACCAATTCAATATTAAGTTGTAAAAAAAGTTGACCTAGATTGTTGGAATAGTATAAAAAAATTTCGTAAGAGAATAAATTTTTAAACTATGCTCCACGGAATCGGTGTGAAGTTCGAACTCCATTTTTTAAAATCATTAAGCCTTAAGGCTACGGACTTTCTTTTTGAAAGTTGTAAATTTTTGGTTATGTCATCGGCATTAATTTTTTGTAGAATATTATATAAGTAGGGAATTTGAATAATATTTAAAATCCAATTTTAAAAAAAAATTAATGAAAGAAATTAAATGTTTATGAAAAATTAAGCGCGAAAAAAAATAATTCTTCTCCTTTCTTCCTACTTATGCATTATTATTTATTGCCCATACTACGGGTTCAAGGTACTCCATTGGAAAATCATATATTTTTAAATTGATTAAAAAAACAAATATTCTTAAATACATCTAAAAAAGATAAATATTAATAAAAAAAATATAAAAAAAATTACCAATTATTGCATTTTAAATGAATTCTTCAAAAATGCTCAATTCAAAAAGTGTACAAATTAAAAAAGTGGGTACAGATATCTGATTTTGGTATAAATTGATCATAAATGCATAAAATATTACTAAATACAACTAAAAAAGATAAATATTACCTTAATTTTGCTTTAAAAATGCTTTATGCAGAGAAAATTCAATAAAGTACAAATTAAAAAGTTCGAAAATATCTGAAACCGACTTTTTTAATTTATAGATTTTGGTTGAATTTTCATGGCATAGAATACTTCTGAAATAATTAGAATTAATATATAATCTTGAGCATATTTGAGCAAAATTATATAAAATTTTTCTTCTAAAGTTAATAATTTTCATAGGAATTTAAATTGAAAACTTAAGACCCCCAAAACGAAATCTTTACCATTCTTCTCAAAAACCAATCGATAAAAAATTAGTAAATTTATAAAGAAATATAAGTTTAACACTGTCACCAATTTTCAGGGATTTTTATTCGATACTTTTTGAAATATATCCATATAAAGACCTAAATTTTACCATTTTTGAGATTTCGAAAAGTTGCCTTTATACGGTAATATTTTTAAAACTTGACGTGTAGGGAAAATTTGGAAAACGGATTCGAACTCAGCGTCAAATTCTGCACCAAAACTTGTTTTTATTTTCTTCTCCCATTTTTCTTGTCACACAGTGTTATAATAAGGAAGGTTTGCTGCAAAAATTAATATATTTTTATTTGTAGGGATCATTAGAACCGAAGTTATAAACCTTCAAAAAGTGCTAAAAATAACCTTTTTGGCCACTTTAACCTAAAATAAATAAAAAACCTGACGTGCTAGAAAAAACTGACAGCGGATTTAGAATATGTATAAAAAACTGTCTTAAAACATGTTTATTTTATTTTCTCCCAAAAAATCAAGTCGAAATTTGTCACACAGTGTAATTAGAATGCATAATACTATTCAGTGGCGTAGCTACGGGGGTGGTTTTCGGGTTTGGACCCCTCCCAGAGCAAATTTTTTTTTAGATTATACGTTCAAAAGACTTAAAAGTGACTTTGTATCAAATAAATACCATTAATATTTATATTTTTCTGGTTTTGATGTTTGTGAAAGGATATTATATTACTATTGAATTTATTCTGGGTAGTATTATTATAAAGTCATTGAGAATAATCTACTAAATTATAATAACATTATTCATGCATTTAAAAATATTTATATATATTGTCGAAGATGTGGTTATGATTTTTAAGATAAACCCGGCCGAAGGCCGGGCAAAAAGGCCGAAGGCCCGTTAAAGGGGTCTGGGGGCGAAGCCCCCTGGATTTTATATGTATGGACCCCCTCTAAGTAAAATTCCTAGCTACGCCACTGATAAGATTTAAGATTAGTAAATGAGATTTGTTTTTTCATAGTTTTCGTTTATCTGAACCCTTGGTCTAAAGAGAGGTCTGAATCCCGAGTTTAAACCACCGGTTTGTGCTCGGGGTTCGTGCTCAGAGCTGGTTTAGTCGATTTTTAGACCCAAACTTCGGGTCTGAGCTTTACACAACCAATTAAGAACACTACCTACAGTTTCCTAATTCATATTTACTTTAGCATTTTTACTAATAGAAATTTATTTATAAAGATTTAATTGAATCACAATAAAAAATATATTGCTTACACTCTAGTGGCTTCACTAGTCTTTACAATTTTAGGGAGCTCAACTTTAAGAAAATATTTTTAAAAAATGTCTTTTTTAGGGAATATCCTCTAAAAATTTTAAGTGCCCTTAAAATTTTTCAGAGGGTAGCCCCTGCGCTCCCCTTCCCCCTAACCAGGGATGCTACTGCTACACTCTTAATGTATTTTTACATTATGTTTATACTTTTCAGCGCAGTTATTGCATTTAAAAAATATCCTTTAAAACGTGTCTTCAATCTTTTACAGTTAGTATAAATAATTTACAGAAAAAATCTAGAGCTATATTTAAATATAAAATTAACATTTTTACAAATAAAAATTTATATAATGATTACTCGTTATTCGAAGATATGTCTCCTAATTCATTTTTACACATTTAGATTAAAAATATTGAATAGAAATAAATGTTTTCTCAAATAATGTAATCAAATCTTAAAAGAATTTAATAAAATTAGCATAGTAACAATGGTAAAACTAATCAGCACTGTTTACAGATACATATATAATATTTTAATGGTCATGTTTTTCACCATAGAATCTTAATATCTAAAAATTTTTTTTTATGAAAGCACATTTTCTTTGTTATTGTTATATTGCGTTGTGATCTTGTTGATATTCTTTGAGTTGATATGTCTCATTTTGTCTGTATTATTCAAATAAGTCATTTATATCTCATTATCATATCAAAAAGATAACATCTAATAAAAATGTTATATCAATATTTGGAAATATATTAATATTTTGCTAGTCAATAATATATTTTTACTATGAATTTTTAGAATAACATAATCCTGAAGAATACTGAATAAAAAAATTAAAAAAATATTCATTTCAGCAATATTAAAATTATAGACCAAATAAGTATTTAAATTTTAAACCAATCAAGAAGGATGTTACCAACAGAGACCTTATGTAAAATTGATTATTTTGCCAAATTTTTGAAGAGGCTGTAGACTTATTTTGTGAGAACACAAGTTCAAATCTCGTAGATTTTTTAAATGAAAATTAAAATATAAAACCGACTTTGAGATACTATTTAATTAAAAACAATTGTATAATATGATTAACTCTCTAAAGTAACTAGTTAATGAACTATTCTTGGGTGGTTAATGAAGGTTTTACTGTTATTTTGCATTTGACTAATAATATATCTGCTTCAAATAAAATATCTGGTTCAGGCCATTTTAATGTTTCTCTAAGGGCACTTAAAATAAAGTATAACCTTTTTGAAGTATGGATATTGGATACATAACAATTCATGAAAACTTTTATTTAAAAAAAAAATTTTTTATAATTTTATAAATAATTTATATTTTTGGCTACAGTGGTGACTGCCCTCCTATTTTCTCCGCCCCGCCCCTTCCGCTGGTTACGCGTCTGATATATTATTTTCAATTGTTAAGGAAAATAGCATCCTATAAATCAGATAGATTTTTCATCAGATATTTAGACCAACTCAACTCAGGTTCTCTTCCATTTTATGATAATCTTAAACTAAATAACATAATAATGAGTTAAAATTTTTAAAAAGTCAGTCATTATATTTTCCAATGAATTATTTTACAATATTTAAAAATAAATTATTCGAATTGAATACGAATAGTAAATTATTTAATTCATACTAGTAAATTAAATAAAATAAAGTATGAAATCTTAATTGTATTTAAGATTTCAGAGAAAATCGTCTATTTTAAATGAAACGAATTAATACAACTAAAAAAATGAGGCAAATAATCTAAAGTATTATTTAACAAAGAAACGCGTAGTAAAGATTTGAGAGTATAATAAAAAAAAATTAATATTATTTATTAATAAATAAAAATTAGGTCCAAACCAGCTCTTGGAAATTTAAAATGGTTTTCTTTGGCCATGCCCGGCCCACAAATTTTTCCCGGTCCGTAAAATAATTTTGCCAAGTTACCCGGCTATAATTTTTTATGTAAGAAAAAGGCATATTTACTTAATTCTAAGCATAAAAAAATTTGCCAACTTCCCGGCCCATAAAAATATTTTGCAAAAGTGCCTGTCTATCCTGATTATCCTTTTACCCGGCTTCTCGCCGACCTTTAATTCAAGTTTTATAAATATAATATATAAGATTACCCAGTCTATAAACTGAAAAAAAATACATAATATTAAATTACAATTCTAATAAAAATTTATAAGTATATTCCGAAAAAAAAATATATGGTGGAACAAATGACAATTAATTTGATTTTTTCAAATTTTTATTTATCATTGAGAATGTTAACAAGTGCTATTGAATTTTAACGTGGACTGTAAAATTTTGGTGGATATTTTACTAATTTTGAAATTTCGGGATAATTTGGAAAAAGAAATTTCAATGCGGTTTAAAGGAAAAATTGTGAGAGCCTCCCTCACATGGGGGTTAGGGAGACCGGTGTTAGAGGAATAGTTTTAAATATATCAATCTAGAGTATTAATTAGGGAATATTTTAATAATATACTATCATTAGCAAATTTAGATAAAAAAATTATTGCAAATGTTAATTTATCTAATATTTGCTCATTTTTTAATCGAAATTTACTTTTATTTGCAGATAACTTAAATAATAAATCTTTTTTAAAAATCCATATGGATGAGGAGAAAAGATCTAATCCTTAAACCCCCCCCCCCTCTTCCATAGTTATGGTCCTCTATCTGTATAATTTAATTTATTGGGCTTGATAAGTTAGAATTGTGAAACAATTTATATGTTTACATTTTAATTTATATATGTGTTTAAGTTTTTATTTATAATATGTTTTTAATTTAAAGAAAATCCAAGAAAAAAGACAAAGAACAAAATTACTTAGAAAATTTGCAACATATAGGAAGCATCAAAAACAAACTACCTCTATATCTTGAGCCATGTAATTGTACTACAGCATTTCTTTCTGTTTCTGAGATAAAGGAATTAGTATTTTTACCACCTGGCATTAATCCTAAAGAATGGATAGCACTTCATAGTAATTTAAAATAAAACAAATTAAAGTTATTTTTATATCAACTAAATTAGAAATGAATTATATGAATTATTTTATAGTTTATTATTCCCAGTGGCTTATTTAGATGAGGATCAAAGCAGACACGTCGTTAAACTTCTAAGGGGTCCTAAAAAGCACATATTAAAAAAAATTTATATTTATAATTTTTTATACTAAAAAACACATCCCTTGGAAATAATTACTCGCGAGAAAATTTTTCAGCATAATTTTTTATTATTATTAAATAAGCTTTTTAACACTTAACTCTACTTTCATCTCTGTATTCCTTTTCTTCGAAAAACCATTATCCTTCACCATTCTTACGTTGGGCGCCGGAGCTATATATTTCACCGTAGGAAATGCTGTGCCTTACATAAAAATTCTCTTTAGAATGCCCAACTTTATCATATTTTTCACATTGAAATGTTAGCTATAAATTTTGAACCTGAAAACTAGGTTTTTCGCATTATGTGACAGCCATGGTTTTTTTAGCTCTTACGATTTAAAAAAAATGAATAATTCTTCCAAAGATAGATGGCGCTCCTATATTAAATAACGCTTAAAAAAATTTTTTTTTTTGAATTTTTTCTTCTTCTAAACATGACTAATAAGATTTTTTTATATCATTAAATGATATTATTTAACTGCAATTGTAATTTTTTTTTGTAAATTATTTTATTTTCGAAAAATTATTTATTAATTTTGCAAATATTATAGGAAAATTAAAATTCACACAAGATATTACTTCTTTTCGGCTTTTCATTAAATAAAGAATTTTCGACGCCTTGATAATTTCTTTTGCAATAAATAATAAGTACGCCCAGTCGTCTTTGATGAGCTCACTATTGAAATATTATTTTTTGACGTGAAAAGGAGATCTGGTGACAAAAGAATTTGCTCGTCTTTTAGGATGGATGAACACCAATCGTTTTCTCATGTACAAGTCACGTTCCCTCTAATTTCATCGATTAACAGATCCTCACATGAATTTATTATATTTTTAATAAACGCTGAGTATTGAGCTAAGTTTAGCCGGTTGGAAATACTACGTGAATCTTTTATGTCCCAGGTATTGAGATAAATTTACTAAATTATCCTTATCTCTTTTGCTTCATACTCTGGTATGGTGGCTTAAGAAAATTTATTACCTTTTAGAGGCTCTTAGCTTATTTATAAAATTATACAGGTATGTTTATCTGAGTTGAATAAGGTCTTTGTAAGTTTTCCTTAGCAACCAACCTATTCTAGACTGTTGAACTGTTATTTCTGAAATATCAATTATATTTTCCCTAAATTTTTTTGGATTATTTTAATCGGTAAGTTTTTTTTAATAGATAGATATTCCAATTTCTTTTAAAGTAATATTGATTGCATCTATTGATGTGGATGATGTGGTGATATTATTTATTTCATATTCGCTGTCAGAACTTATATTTTCTAGATTTTTTTTATCATAAACGCTGCCAGCGATCAAAAATACAGTGTTTTTCACCTCATAATTTGGAATTTTAGTTATCCATGCTATAGCTTTTGGCAAATTCGCTATAAAGGGGCTTAGATTTTTTAAAGGATTTGAGCATTTATATTTATAAATATCATTTGGAGGAAAACTGGCTTTTATTTTTCAACAATTAATTATTATATTTTCCTGCAGGAGATATCGGGATTGTAGCAATCTTTTTAGGAAATTTAATCATTTATTATAAAAACAATTAATTTTTACAAGTTATCAATAGTAAAATAATAAGTAAGCCTGTTAATGTTGACAAATATTTTGATATGAATGCTAGAAAATCTTATTATTTATGTTTAAATATGGGAAAAAAAAATTTAACAATGCGTTATTTTTATAAGAGTGTCATCTATTTTTGAAAAAAATATTCATTTTTTTTAAAAATCGTCTTAACTAGAAACCCCATTGCTGTCCCAAGTTTAAATTTTTTTTTATATATAAACATAATTTATGTGAATAATAAAATATAAAATTCAAATAAATTCGGAAAGCGAAACACCTGAAGTTTTCAGGTTCAAAATTTATAACTTAAATAAAACCGCAAGATTATTATTTTATAAATCCTTAATATTTAACAAAATGGCATATAATTTTTATTTTTCGCATCATTATTTTTTAACTTATCTCAAAATTTTAAAATCATATTTTTCAAAAAAGATCATTTTCAGCACTTCCATTGATATCACAAAAACTATTAGTACTTGGAGGCGAAAATTTTGTATTCGATGCTTTCTAATGATGTTCCCTCAGTATGCACTATTTTATCAAAATTAAAACGGTCGGGCCGAAAAGTTATCAATTTGGCATAAATTACCCATTACCCCAATATGATATATGTTATATAAATCGTTATTACATGACTTCTAGTTAAGTTATGAATTTTTAATAACTTTTATTCTATAGCTAGGCAAATTTTAATACTAGAAGAAATATATTTCGCCAAAATTTATATAAAGGAATTTTTATATCTTATGGGTAAAAAGGTTTTTTAGCAAAATATATCGGAATATCTTCCAAAAGATGTACAAAAAATTATATATAAAATGAAAAATACATATTCGCCAAACCAAATTTAAATTTTATAAAGTTATTTGCGTTAATATTTACAGCGTTAATTGCTTTCTCCCATCTCTGTATACTAGAATTTGCATCTCATTCTGTCATGATTTCTATGTGATGCTTTCCCAAGGATGTTCTAATAGCTGTTATTTCAACCCGATTTCCTACTCATCAGGAGAAACCGATTGCGTAAGCATCAAGATACTTTTGGCGGCTGAAACGAATTACGCTACCATTGATCCGAAGGCTATGGCGATCATTTTCGCTAGGGAAGTTCTACCAAGGATAAAAAGATCGAAAGAAAAATTAAAACATATTTTTAAAGTAAGCTAATCGCATTTAAAGAAGACTATATAAGTCTTAAGGGCAAATAAAGTAGATTAGTGGGTTAATCTAATTGACCATAGATAAACTTAAAATATAATTTTGAAAAAATTAGATTGGCTTCAACCTTAAAAATGTAAAAAAGATAAACTGAAACAGTTAAAATATTATAATTATAATCTCTATATGTAATAATTAAAATCATACAATATTCTAATCAAATTAAATTTTGTATCATACAATATAACGTTTATATCAATAACAATTAACAATTTTAATAATTTCACGCCAATAAACATTGAAAAACAATATTTTTTTTATTAAATGCATGTTATATCAAATCAAAGCGATTCGTTTGTTTGTTAAGAAATTTACGTGTAATTAGACATGTGCGCCGCCGGTCAAATGCGCCGCCGCCGGTGATTTTGACCATGCCGATGCCGCGCGCCAAAAAAGTGTCGGTGCTCAACACGCCGCCGCCGATCTAAAAATTCGGTGGCCTGGCGGCGTGATAATTTATTTTATAGATTATTTATGAATTTTAATTAGAAGAAAAATATTAAATATTTTTTGAATTATTAAAAAATGCGATTTTATTTTTTAAAATTAATAAATATTATTTGCTATAAATTTGATTTATAACAATCCATATTCGTTCACTTTGGGCAGGTTTGTGACCAACGTGCTAGATAAAATAAGATTAGGACATTAAATTTGAAAAGGTAATTCTATATTTTATTCTTTTAATTTTTGATGCTTCAAATAATTTACAACTCGTTATATAAAATTTATTTTTTATCATAATAGGAAATTTTAATTAATGATTTTTATTTTGTTGCCATTATAACATATATAAAAATACCAGGTCCGTGAAGTTGTAGGAACGATGTAAGGATCAATTAACAAAACCTATGCCATTATTTAGAGTCTTAATTGATCCTAATTGATCTTCAAACCAGACATCAGCGGAATCAAAGGTTATTGAGTTATAAGCAAAATAATAAAAGTGCGAAGATTTGCAGCTGTAGGAATGATTTGAGGATCAATTACCGAAATTTATACCATTATATAGCCCGTTAATTGATCCTAATTGATCTTCTATCCGGAAAGCAGCGGAATGAACCGTTACTGAGTTATGAGCAAAATAAGAAAGTGTTGGCACTTTGCCAAAACCGAAAATATAAAAAATCACGATCTGAAACTTGGCAATTATTTAGGCTTTAATTTGTGCGTTAATAATTTCCAAACCGGATAACGATATCACTAACCGCAACCGAGTTATGACCTGTTTTTAAAGCGTGAAGTTGTAGGAATTTTTTTAAAAAGTGAGGATCAATTACCAAAAACTACCAAATTGTGGTGCGTTAATTGATCCTCCAGAATCTTTAAACCGCATATCAACGTAATAAACCGTTCGTGAAATAGAAAGGTTTTGGCATCTTGCCAAAATTAAAAATTTGAGCAATCATTTTTTTAGTTATAGCCAATATTTAGTGCCTTAATTGATCCTCCGTATTCTTCAAACGGAATGTCAAAAAAATTAAAGGCTATTGAGTTATAAGCAAAATAATGAAAGTGTGAAGATTTGCAGCTGTAGGAACGATTTGAGGACCAATTACCGAAACTTATACCATTGTATAGCCCGTTAATTGATCCTAATTGATCTTCTATCCGGAAAGCAGCGGAATGAACCGTTACTGAGTTATGAGAAAAATAAGAAATGTTGGCACTTTGCCAAAACGAAAATATAAAAGATCACGATCTGAAACTTGATTATTTGGGCTTTAATTTGTGCGTTAATAATTTCCTAACCGGATATCGATATCACTAACCGCAACTGAGTTATGACCTGTTTTTATAGCGTCAAGTTGTAGGAATTTTTTTAAAAAGTGAGGATCAATTACCAAAAATTATGCCAAAGTGTGGTGCGTTAATTGATCCTCCAGAATCTTTAAACCGCATATCAACGGAATGAACTGTTCGTGAGTTATAAGCAAAACCAAAAAGTATTGGCACTTTGTCAAAACCTAAAATAAAAAAGATCATGTTTTGAAACTTGGCAATTATGTAGTATTCAATACGTACA